GTTGATTATAGATTTGGATGGCCAAGATCAGTTAATAAGGTTAACACAAAAAWGATGGTTAGCATTTGATTTTGGCCATATATATATATAGAAGTTGGTTATTATACAACCTTTGATATTTGTGCAACCAATACAACCCAATCTCAACCGTCCATTTCATTTTATTAGTATGTGATTTCATAGAAGTTTTGATTGTTTCCTAATATAAAGTATTGATCATAATTAATGAATCGTATCCATCTTTCATAAATATTCAAATCATAATAAATGAACTCTCATCATTTCTATAAATATCTCAATTTATTGGGTTGTATTGGTTGTACAAATGCGATGAGTTGTATTTGAAACAAACTATATATATATATATATATATATATATATATATATATATATATATATCAGCCATTAATGAATCAAAACTCTGATTTCTTTGATCCATTCATCCACATATTTGTTTCTTGATAATGACAAGAAATGGTCACTGATAACGCAAAAGTGGTCCGGTGTCATTTATCTTTGGTCCATATTGTATTTATATACAAAATTGTTATTTGCATGTTTGCTATTTTCATTAGCTAAATTTCTAAATCTACTTATAATTAATTAACAAATATTTAATATTTGATAAAAATAAATATATTAATTAAGGGTATAGTTGTAATTTGCATAAACAAAAGTGTAATAATTATTAATGTCTAAAACCTGTATCATTTTCATTAATTATTGACACATATTTGAGAAGCAGGAAATACAAAATTAAAGTGTACATCAGTTTTTCATGAAAAAAAGCTTTCAAAAACATGTAACCAAACCAACATAGTTCTAAACATATTCAAAAGGGTAAATTGATACCTGCTTTACATATGAGATTGCATTATTCTGGTTCGTTTCATATTTTTGTTTAATGTAGTTTGATTTAAATATTTGATATATAATATATAAAGTAACAAAATGAAGATTTTGAAATTAAGATGTATTTGATAAAAATCAAAACAAAATACCTAACATTTTTAATGCAATTTTCCTATTCATATGCAAGTTTTTATAAAAAAAATCATACACTTGTTGTCACTACAACAAAATCGGGTTTATAGGATACTCTCAAATTCTAAGTGTCCTAATAGACCTATTTATAAGACTTAGTTTATAGGACCAAAAAAATAAAGTGTCCTATGTAAAAAATGTTGTAATAAGTTTATATGACGTTTTTTGATGTTATAATAAGTTTTTTAGAACATTTTTTATATAAAGGGTCTCATTATCAACTTTATAAGACACTATTTGAATAACTATCCTATAAAAGCAAGTGTCCTTTAAAAAATTGAGTTTATAGGACAATTTCTCAAAAGTGTCCTATAAAGTTGAGTTTGTAGGACAATTTCTCAAAAGTGTCCTATAAAGTTGCTAATGCGACATTTTGTATTAAAAATGTTCTCAAAAACTTGTTAAGACGTCCAAAAGCGTCATATAAACTTATTACAACACCTTTAGATAGGACATTTTATATTTTGGTCCTATAAAACAGTCTATTGGAACACTTAGAGATTGTGGGTGTCCTATAAACCCAATTTTGTTGTAGTGTGTGTGTGTGTGTATATATATATATATAGAGAGAGAGAGAGAGAGATGAACGATCAAATGAAAATCACCCTCATTTGTACAAACCGTGCAAACCTTATTCAACCAATCACAATTTTTCATTTTGTTAATTTTTTTGTAATTATGAGAGGTTGATTAACCATTTTTATTGTGGAGGGTGTTAACCATTTTTTTAAAAGGAAGGATAATATGGAAATTAGCAATTATATCATCCATAGAGTTGGAGCAAATCTAGATCTCATCAACAAAAATGCATTTCTCAGTGGAGATTCCAAAATCAAAATTCTTATTATCAGCTACAATTACATCTTCGATTGCTCGTTTTCGGCGCCGATTTTATGATTAGTTTCGATTTGTTCTGATTCCTGTAACTTTTACGATTTTCCACCATACTCATATCGAAGAAACGAGCGACTTCTTATCCAAACGCGTCAAAAACACTTTGGTTCGAGTTTTAGAAGCCATCTAGAATAACGAAAGGCAGTGGTTGTTTCTTTGTTGCTGGAGCGTCTAACTCGGACTTGGTCAATGTACATGAATTTAGGGGAAAATGGTTCTAATATTGTGTAATTACCAGTATTGATTTTGCGAATAAACATAGAGTTTCATATATGTATTACTATTTCATTTTGTGATTGTCTAGTAAATTCAAATGTGAAGAACACCCAAAACAATTGATCTCATATGAGAATCAATTAAATAATTCATATATGAATCTATGATTTCATATGTGAATCAGTTAAATAGTTTCACTTATGCACATATAGTTCATATGTGAATCACAAGATGTCACATTAAAAATGTTTTTGTAAATTACATAAAAGTTATATATGTCTTTTGTTTCATAAATAATAAAAAATGATAAATATTTTAGTAAAATATTTAATTTGATTGTTTTGTTAAGAAATTATTAATTAACTAAGATATGTAAGATTGGTAAAATTTGTTGTTATTTATATTACACACAACGTTTATTTATAATCATCATTTAATATAGATATTTTCTAAAACGTGTGTTTGGTTACAAATCCAAATTTAAAATTTAATATTATATAAATCAAATCAAAATCTATCAATTAATATATTTTATTTTTTAATTTTCAATATCATATAGTTTATATTCGTTAACATATTGCATTATTAGTGAATTGTTTTAAATAATAAAATATTAAAAAGTTTATTAATTTTTAAACATGTTTTTTTAGCCGTCTTATATTTTTCAATTAGCTTATTAGCTAGTTTTGGCATGTATTTACTTTATCAGTCATCAACTAGCTTATCAACTACCAATTAACTTATCATCATCCGTTAGCTTATCGGTTACCTACTAACTTATCATCATCATCATCTAGTTTATCAGCTAGTTTGCCAAACATAGCCTTACTTTTAGCCGTATCTGCAATTGATTTGATACCCCTTCTAAATTTCAGAATACACAAAATCAAGGACTGAAATTTAGTTTGTAGAATCTGTAACATTTGCACGATTTCTTTTTGAAACTCTTTATGTATACGTTATATATAATTAGTTGTCTATCCATGCAATGTGGCGGAAGCCGTGAATAGGGCTATAAACGAACCGAACGAACACGAACGGAGGCTCGTTCATGTTCGTTCGTTTAACTTAACCGAACAAACGAACGAACACGAACGGTAAACGAACGAAAATCTTTGTGTTCGTGTTCGTTCGTTGAGAAATAAGATGTGTTCGTGTTCGTTTATGTTCGTTCGTTAACATGCTAAACGAACGAACATAAACGAACGGGCTAAACGAACGGGCTAAACGAACAGACTAAACGAACATATATAAATATTATTTGAATTTAAAGTAAATAAATAAAAGATTATATATTAAATTTAATATATAAACGAACATAAACGAACGAATATAAACGAACGTAAACGAACGGTAAATGAACGAATGTTCACGAACATAAATGAACGAACGAGACTCTTGTTCATGTTTGTTCGTTTAACTAAACGAACAAAAAAAATTGTTCATGTTCGTTCATTTATTAAATAAACGAACATAAACGAACTTCCCGCCGAACGGTTCACGAACGGTTCGCTGAACGTTCGGTTCGTTTACAGCCCTAGCCGTGAAGGTTAACAATTTTGAAGTTTCACTGATTTTATTAGAGAAGATTTAACAACGATATAAGTTACATTTGGTCTTTATATATTAATACAATTTGAATAAATAAGAGTTATGGTTCCAATTAAAGTCTATCAATGAAAAAAATTGTATGATAGTTTAAAATTCAATATATTTAAAATCCAACATATTTGAACGACTGCACAAATGTATTCGATTTACATCAAGAGCAAAGAATCAAGAGATCAAGAACGAGTCGGAGAGTTCTAGAACAATTGAATGAGAGAACTTTTAATAACTAATTGTGAATATTAGTTTGAATCTCACCTTGGAGAATGAAGAGAAGACATAGAGGTATGAGAGGTGAAGGCACGAGTGAAATGCGTCAAAAGACTTTTAAAGCTTTGTGCATACATGTATAGTACTTTGTGCATTAAAAATTATTTTTAAGACTTTTAATAAATCTGTTTTATAAGATAATATAGATTATCGATCTGTATATATAGACACACAAGTATGTATCATGTGCATAAAACATATCGATAATGTTCGAAAATGATAGCACCATGGCCTTTTAAGTAGATATTTTGAGACAAGTTTTTTTAAATAATTTATAAAAATTTATTGACTTTATATAAAAGGTGTCGTCATATCCATCATATTTATTAATTCCTTTTATAATTTAATTTTATAAAGTGTCTAACGAACACATTTTTGTACGACACTTCTTTTGTAAAACACTTTCTCGAGTGAACAAAAAAAGATACAACACTTAATTTAGAAAACGTAACGTCATATAAATTTATCGTAATCGTTTTTATATAACACATAGTTATTTGACCCATTAAACCGAAATCTTATAAAACAATTTGATATCTTTATCATACTTTAGGTATTTGTTTGTTTTTTCAAAATTACCTCTTAATACCTCTGAAATCTGATTCGTTCAGATGTTTGAGTATTAATAGCGTCTGTTTTATTTTTAAAATAAGAGCTTAAAAGCTCTAAATGTTCTCTGAAATTTTAAGTGGTAAGTATATCACTTATTATCTCTTAATTCTAATCCACCCTCTATCACATGGTTCATATTTTGGGGGCCGAAAGAGATTTGTTAGCAAAAACTATTTATCTTTTATACTTTTGTAAAAACTATTTATGTTTTATATTTTTGCATTAGTTTGACCGATTCAGATTTCATACTTTAGACGTAAAAACAAACAATCTTATTAATCCAGATTTCAAACTTCAAGACCACCTCTTATAAATCAGAAGTGAAATCAGACTTCAGACTTCTGCACCTCTTAAAAAACAAATGCCACCTAAAATATGATCTTGAAAACAACAAAATGAAATAACCTTCAAAATATAATAGCTTAATGACTTGGCTTATAACAATTAAGCACATGACATAGTTAATATGTTTCTTTTCATTCTTCTGTGGTTGGCTTTTTTCTATCTTGCATAAAATCCTTAGGCCTAATTTCGATCCCTTGAATAATAAGCCCTGACTTCCAATTGCCTCCCTTTACCTCCATTACACTCATCTCAAGCTCTGTTTCATCCCCTTGTTCATTAAGATACTCTCCGATCTTAATCTCTAACCATCCATCTGGTCTCGGTTTCGGACCAATTTCTTTCGAAGGAGGCACTACAGCATAATTGGCGAATGGTCCTCTGCTAAACAACCCAATTCGCCTCCTTGGTTGTAATCTACGTCTTAGTCCTGCTTCAGGGTCCAAATACGCCATTCGTGTTTCACACTTATCCCCATGACGACCAATACTGACCTCTACAGGCTGGTACTCAAAACCATAAGCTTTAGGTGTTGTCTTAAACACAAGGTAAGCGGCATAAGTTGTATTGGGAGATAAGATGGAAGTATTGATCGTGCCATTGACTTCAAGTAAACACACCGTGATAAGTTCAATAACCTCTGGAAATCTATAATTCGAAAATGTTTTCAATGGGTAAACGAACAAAAATGTTCTGGAAGTTTATTATAAGGTATTAACCGAATGCAATTAGCTAAATATACCTTGATTCTGCTATTGACGTCCATCTCCAACAATTTGGGGAGTCGGCTCTGGAAATCGAGAGGTGTCTTGCAGCCAACATGTAACATTTTTTTCCACTCCCTTTGTCTAACGAGAAACTCTGTTGAAATTGGATTATACGATTCGAAGTTAAAACTTCTTGTGCAAGTAAGAAAGTTAAAATTACAATTTTCGGTAATATTTATGATCATTTTATTCATATCCTAAGTCTTAAGTCTTATATACATATATATAGGCGAAAGATCGTGTGAGAAGAGAAGTTATGGTGAGAAACATTAGAAGAGATCTGAACCTTTGATCACTTTTAATCTACTGTCCACCCATGAATTTTGTTTTAGAAGGGAATTGATCTGGTGTATCTCGGTGCATCCATTACTGTTGACATTCAATTAAGTTTGATCAGAGGGTGGAGATCTCTTCTTATGTTTCTTACCTTAACTTCCCTTCTGACGAAACCCAACCTTATATATATAAGGAGACATAGAAAGAGGGAGGATCATGAAAGAAGTTGATCAATTAGAAAAAAAGACGAGAAGGTCCAAGATCACACATGATTACATATGATACGAACACTTAATCATATATTATTACACACGTCCAAAACACGAGCGACTTGGTGAACACGACCAAAAAGGTCGTGGAAAAGCTCCCTGCTGTATACAGTAGGTTAACACAACATATGTTTAATCATATATGATTAAGTGTCCGTATCATATGTAATCATGTGTGATCTTAGAAATTCCCACCTTTTCACAATTAAATAGCGTTATCATTTGAACCCAACCCTATATATACAAATAAAAATAATCCAAGTTACAAAATTATAATTAAAAAATTAATAATACATAAAACAAAATATAGCTTCGTAGACTTTTTGTGTGTGCCTTTAATGGCTTAATCGTTTTATATGCAAATGTCCCTTTTTCACATTTATCATCTTATCTTTGGATTCTGGAAAACAGCCAACTAAGATTGGGCCCATGCACCAATCATACACGATATTGAGGAATCTGTCGTTTTTATTTTGTGTGACAAACAAAATGATGTTTATATTTAATAAAATTTATTTAGAGTAATTGCTTGTTTACTGAACATTTACTGAGTAAGTATTTATCAGTACAAGTTTTTACTATGTAACATTACTGACTGTCAAAACTTGCACTGTAACAAAGTGTTTATAGGATGTCTGAAGTGTTTAAGTTTCTTAATAGTGTTTTTATAGAACTTAGGTTTATAGGAGCAAAAAATAAAGCGTTCTATCTAAAAGTGTTGTAATAAATTTATATGACACTCGTGGGTGTCGTAACAAGGCTTTTAGAACATTTCTCAGATAAAGTGTTGTATTAGCTAATTTATCAAAAGTGTCCTATAAACCTATCTTTTATAGGGAACTTGTGTTTATAGAACATTTTTTCAAATAACGTCCTATAAAATAGCTAATACGACACAATGTTAAAAAAAATGTTTTAAAAACTTTGTTATGACGCCCAAAAGCGTCTTATGAACTTACTGCAACACCTTTAGATAGGACTCTGTTAGGACACTTCTACACTTTAGGCGTCCTAGAAGCTCGATTGTTGTAGTATATATTAATTGGGTTGAGTTCTGGTGAGAAAAAGTGTTAAGGTAATAGCATAGGAAAAGATCTCCACCATTAAATGCACATTAGGATGAGATGCACCAGATCACCCTTGTATCAAAAGCGATTTATGAGTGAATTTGAGATTAAATGTGATCAATGGTCCAGATCTCTTCCTATGCTTCTCATTTTAACTCTCATTCTCACACAATACTTCACTTATATAATTATGTACATGTAATATATTATAAATTCATTTTTTATTTTACTACAATTTGATATTTATTAAATTATTGTATAATATGAAAACTAAAAATAAAAAAGTAATATTTAAATTAAATTTTGTCTAAATATATAATAATTATTGGCATTGACAAAATATACGAGACCCACAAAAAAGTTCTTATAAAAACTATATTTATAGACTTTTATATAACTTCTTAATTTAATGAGTTGAAAATGAGGAAAAAAAAAACTTCATTAGAGATGCTTTGATCATCACAGAATAAATAAAATTATGCCTATTTTTCTGTGTGAGGTATGACATTTGTTAAAAAAAGCAGCTATTAAATGGGTGTTTGAGATTGCTATTTGAAACAACTTATATTTTTCTATAAAAACATTTATCAACTTATTATAAGTCAAAAGTGTTTAACTTCTTCAAAAACTACTTATTACCAGTTTGGCACCAGTATAAGTTGTTTATCCAAACACTCAAAAGCACTTATTACCGATGTCACACCGGTAATAAATCAATAAGTTGTTTTTATAAGCAATCTCAAACACCTCTAAAAAAAATATCAGATAATTAAGAAAAAAGCACAAGAAACTATCTAAAGTAGTTCTAGAAAAAGATGGTTGGTCTTATCGCATAGTTGTGCTGAATAACGTTAAGCAAGCTTAATGAAAAAGATGTATTAATGGAATGAAAAAGGAAAGTGACCTTATTTCCTTGGTCTATGATGAGGGGATGGTCACAGATACGGAGATACAAGCTCTTTTTGGAATGGTGACCACCGTCACCGTCGGCCACCACCACTTCCGGCAGGTACTCAGGTGGTAGGAAACTCTGCCAAAGCGAATCCCAGTCGGCGGCTGATCGGAAAACAGAATTGGTGGATGAGAGGCGACACGCATCTCGAGGGCTCGTGAGAGCCAATGCTTCTGCCAGGAATCCTTCAGGCAACCCATCGAAGAAGTCTCCTTCACCTTCTTCCATATTGTGGTTAGGGTTTGATGGAGGTGTAGGTATGTGGATATATATAATGTGTGTGTGTGTGTACGGGGTTTTTAAGTTTCAAACAATGTGGAATTATTGCAATTTGACACTTTGACGTTGATATTTCATAAATGTTTTTAAAATTTAATTTTATATATAGGAAGGATGGTGCGAGAAGTTAAATATATTGTGAGAAGACGAAAAGTTTCAATATCATATATGATTATGTTCTTTTGTGTGTTTGATTAAACTTGTGTATCATGCATGTAATCATATATTATATTGAAACTTTTCACCTTCTTGTAAAATATTTAACTTTTATTTAAACCTGCCCCTATATATATGTATGTATACTAGAGTGGTGCTAGCATAATATAACGAGATATATCTCAATTTTAATGTTTCGTTTTATTATTTATCTGTGTCGATATGATACGGTTTTCAGTGGTTTTGAGAAAACGATAATGTTTTTTATTTTTGAATAAAATATAAATTTAAATATATCATAAAATTTTGAATTTTTTTTTTGATAATAGTATCAAATTTACTATTTAAAGTTCTGGTTTTTTGTGTAATTTCTTTAATTCAATATTTATTAATAATTTAATTTAGATTTAATAACGAGTAATTTATTTATCGTTTAATAATATAATTTTCATAAATATAATGATTAAATATTTTGTTATAAGTAATGATTATCCTAATTATATTTTAGATTTTTTAATTCAAAATGAGATGTTTATTCCGTATTTGATTATATGTATCTATAGTCACTTACAAAAATTCAAAATGAACCTTTAATAAGTTGTACTTAGGTATAATTTACTTGTGATCTTGAATTTTAAGTAATATACATCAATAAACAATACTTTATGCATAAAAATTATTTTTAAGAGTTTTTGTCAAATTATTTATAATATATTATAGATAGAGAGAGAGAGAGAGAGAAGTTCAAATGAAAACCGATTTTCAGTTGTGAACTAGGGGAGCAACGAAGGGCATTCATTTGGAATAATGAAGGTGAAATATGAATAACAAAGGAAAGCACGACACATGTCCTCGACGTCTACATTCAATATGAATAACGAAGAGCATTCAATATGAATAATGGAAGACATTCAATAAGAATAGTTAATGAAGGTGAAGTTCATAAACTATTCATTGTGAATGATACAACATTCATGATGAATAATACACGACCATGATCTATCTTAAATTGATTTACTATTCAAGATAAATAAAACACATTCATCATGAATGACACATTATTCATGATGAATAACTCGTGAAGGTGTGAGACATATGTCACACTCTTCTTTATCCTGCAGTTCACAACCGAAATCGATTTTCATTTGAACCCACCCCTATATATGTGTGTGTATGTATATATACACTACCAAAAAACCCACT